GTACAGACCCACCTGGTCCCAGTCACTAAGGCAGTGGATCCACATCCAGGACGCACTATCACCCGTGGCGTCGGGAAAGAGAACGCAGGCAAAAAGGTGTAGGATCCACGCCCGGTAGTAGTACCCAACCGTCTCCTCATCTGCCTCCTCGGGGCACTGTGCTAACTCTTCACGTAGCCAGGAGATGGGAACTCCAGCAGTGCGAGCCCCTTGCTCGCCAAGCTCACGCCCAAGGAAGACCTCCACTCGTGCTCTCCAGCCCTCTGACCTGCACTGCCCGGTGACTGAGTTGCCGTGAATCCTTAGGCCTAGCATCTTCTGACAGTCCTATAGCGAGACTGTCATCTCCCCGAAAGGTAGGTGGAAGCTATGAGTCTTCGGCCGCCACCTATATTTAAGACAAAGCAAGATTACTTGTCAAAAAGTCAATCGCATGAACAAATAGCCATGAATGGAGGCAATGATTCACTTTAATACCTATCTACCAACGCAGTTATGGCCGCTGAGTTGAACTTGGGCAACCCACGACGAACCTGAAAAGAGATGACATCTAGGCCAGCTCTTTGTAGGAAAGGAGTGTACCTGTCGTCGTACCGCATGTCCAAGAACCCACTGTGGATTCTAGGATGAAGGTGCGGAAGGTCCTGCATCGAATAAAACATAGTCTCATGTTACTTCACGAACACATGTACGAATAAAACTTATAGATTATTACCTGCCCCAACGCTATGAGACGTCCTCGGTGGGTCGCCTCATACGTCGGGTCGAGCAGGTGGAATTGCTCCATCCTACAAAAAAGTGAATGAATTAGAAATCCAATATACAATGAAACATGAACTTAGAAATGTATAAGTAATTGACACAAATACAAGCATAAATTGAGACATGCATAATTAAATATATGAATACGACAAATATAAAATAATAATATAAACCAATAGTCCTACCTCACTAATCTGTCAACGGCAACTTCGTGAGTTGTGGCCAAGTCTACCGCACTTGCCGCACTCGTACTGCTCTAGATCAGTAACAAATGGAGTTCCTCTCCCACGCCTAGTTCTTTCAGGTATCTGATCCATAACCATCCTGTGCCTCATCCTCTGCCTTGATCCATGCTTGTTCCAACGGTAAGTTGGATCCGCAATGTACTTCGGCCCATCATATGGAGGCCACTCTCCAGGGTCCCAAAAAGGCACGAAGCGGGGGCTCCATGTGTTCACAAGCGTGTCGACACTGAACTTGTGAGGTATCCTCCTCTCGATATTATAGTTGCGATGCCTAGCTGCTGCCACCAAATGAGAACATACAAAGTGGTACTGCCTTGGTTTACCACAAGTGCACTTGAAATCTTAGAGGACAACCACATGTATCCTCGACTCTCGGACCTCACCGTCGGACGTTGTACCGCCCCTATGCTCGACCTGATAAGTCCTTGTGGCGTGGTCAAAGCATGCAACCTCATGTGTGCCAACCCTTTCTCTTGCCTTCTCTAGGTGTGTCTTTGGTTTTGGAGCCCATATCTCTCCATCACTCCGCAACTGCAATGCATGGGCGTATCTATCGTTGAACCAGGCAACAAGCTTATAGAAGGTGAATTGAACGATTACATTCACAGGCATACCACGTATCCCCAATAGCAACTTATTGAATGACTCTGCCATGTTGCTGCACTAAAACTCATACCTCCAGCCACCGGCGTCGTGAGCTCTCGTCCATTTCTCCAAATCCCTCATTAAACCTGTGAGCCATTGTCTACCTTCTGCATTTGATGCGGTTCTGACCTGCTCCAACTTTTCCTTAAAGTACTTGTCCTCAAGCTGTCGAACAGCCTCCTAGAACAGATCAAAGTTACCCTTGACACCATCCTTCCAGAGTAGATTCTTGGCAAGGTGCCAAGTACACCAACGATGGTGCAACGGTGCATACCCCTCTATCTGCTCTCGCACGACATTAAGTATGCCCTGATGCCTATCAGATATGACGCCAACCTCCCTGCCAGGCCCAACCACGTGTATCCGGACTAGCCTCAAGAACCATCCCCAACTGTCATTGTTCTCCTTCTCAACCAAGGCAAATGCCAAAGGAACCAACTTGTTGTTCGCGTCACAGGATATGGCTATAAGAAGTGTGCCCTGGTATTTGCCAATCAAGAACGTACCATCAATGGAGAAGACGGGATGACAATGCCTAAAGGCCTCGACACACTGAGGGAAGCACCAGAAGGCATGGAAGAATATCTACCTCCCATCCTTTCATGCATTAGGTTTTGGGATGTAATCATAATGCATGCCTGGATTCACCGCTTTGATTGCATTGAAAAGAACTGGCAGCTGCTCATACCCATCCTCCCAGTCCCCATATATCATCTTCCACGCTCGCTGCTTAGCCCTCCATGCTTTACCATAAGTTATCACATATCCTCCATACAACGCTTCAATGGTCCTGATAATTGTCCTCACCTTCATGTTGGGTTCTCCCTACAAAATTCCCATCAACCGCTTGGCAATGAGGGTAGATGTCAACTACCGATGCCTCAGTGTCAGCTCATGCTCAGCATAATTGTGTGGCCCGACAACTTTTGTGATCTTCCATTTTTCGGTTACCTGTTGCTTCCTTGCACAAACTCTCCATGGACAACGTTCTTTGTCACACACAACTGTGTAACGACGCTCCACATATGAATGCAATACCCTGTAAGGCCTCTTTTGTATCACTGCAAAAGCCTGCAACCACCTCTTCAGAGCAGGGAGGTCATTGAACACCCTCCCATTCTCAATTACCATGTTAGGACCAGCCTTAGGAGCTTCTAGGAGCTCATCATCATGTCCTTCTGCAAACGCCTGATCGAAATGAGCAAGATCGCTGAACTCGTGAACTCTAGGATCACGACGGCCGGGAAAGATACGCCTCATTATCTCAACATCACTCTCCGTCAACTCTCCAACAGGGCGATCATCATCAGAATCAAGAGCCCTAGCCATCTCATATGGCTCCGAATCATGCATAATTTCAACACTATTTGACCCACAGAATCCATCTCCAAAGTGCACTTGCGCAGCAATAGGGGGCACATCCACATTCTCAGGAATGTCTCTTGCAATATCATTACAGAAATGAGGAAAGAATGAAAGAAATAGATGTAAGGAATGAGATAAGCTCCCAAAAACCATGCGGTTAAGACACTTACTCGAATGATTCTGTGTCAAAGGGATCTCATAAGGATGATCTACCATGGAAAAATGAGTCTAACAACCATCTCCAAATACCGCATTGGGGGTAGATTGAGCATCGAGAACCGTATGTGCAATCTGCACATGCAGGTAAGGTTCCGGAACGGGAGGGTCGATGTATGCCTGATGATCCATTGCTGGAATAAACCCATGAGGGATGGGATCAACTAACACCCGATGCACAACCACATCCAAACATTGCAGCTGGCTCTTTATAGCTAATCTTACATAGTTCTTCCACTGATCCACACAACCAATTGAGATCATTCGCCTGAAGATGTTTGGAGGACAACCTAGGTGCAGTACACCATCAACTGCAATGCTATCATCTCCAAGGCAATGCAGCTCCTCCCGAGCCCTTGCAACCATGTCACTAAATGAAGGCCTATCATTGAATAGCACAGGCACGTTTTGCATGTCAAGAAACTCAACATATCCATAGTGATCGCTTTCAACGGTGCCTTCATGATATATGGTCACTAGGTTGTTCATCTAATTCAAACACGTAACAAAACACATGCCCTTTAGTCCAAATTAGACGATAGATAGTACCTAACAAGTACTTACTAACTACAAACTAAGTAATCAAGATAATAACTACGTATATATTTACAGTGTACTCACTAAATAGCTAGATCATATGTAGATAACTAAAAATGTAACTACATATCTAAGTAGTTATCTAACTATATCTATGTGCCTATGTGTCTATGTTTCTATCTATCTACATATATATCTCACTAGATCACTAACTAAATCAACTACCTGAGTCATCACATTAACTAATAAATAACAAATGCCAGCTAAGTAGGTACATTGCATATTCATAATTTTTACCTTTTCGGCGGACGATGGGCGTGGGTCAGGCCAAAGATCTGGGCCAACGGTGGCGTGGGCCGACGACGATATGGTGGCACGTACGTGGCGCGGGATGCGGGACTCTGTGTAGTCCCGGCTCGACAGGCGCAGGGGAGGCACGCCGGCGGTGGGCAATGGCAAGGCAGGGACGAGGCCAGCGGTGGAGGGCGGTAAAGGGGCCATGGCCGAGGCCGACAGTGGAGGGCAAGGCGAGGGCGGTGGAGGCAGCAAGGCGGGGGCGGCCGAGGCCAACCACGAAGTAATGGCCTTGGCCTTCTGAACCCATAAAGACGCTGGAAGCGGCAATGGCGAAGTGCACACACGATGTGCACATGCGAAGTGGCCTGCCTCAGTGTGATCTTGAGGATGCTGGTGGGCAAGGCGGCGGCGTCGGCGGCAGAGCTCGGCTAGGGCGAGAGAGGGAGAAGAAGAGAGGAAAGGTGCGGGCCCATTAGATATTTTCGGGCTCGGCGCCGGTCACTCTGGCGCCAAGCCCCCTGGCAGGTCACGAACCGTGCCCAAGAGCTCGGCGCCACTCTGGCGCCGAGCTCAGCGCCAGCATGAATGGCGCCAAGCTAAAGATCCATTTTCTGAATTCTTTCCACAGAATTTATTTGTGAGAAATGTTAAAAAAAAAGGACAAATTATAAAAAATTCGGACGGTTCTGCCACCAGTCCCCTGGCCCTGTGGTTCATTGAACCTGGCCCTTCAACACTCGCCGAGGCCAGCCAACTAGCCAAGGCCGCCAGGGGGCGTCTGGCGTCTCCTCCTCCTTCCTGCGGTCCTGCCCTGCCCAGCAGCCCTTTCGTCCCGGCCCCGCCCTCCCCGCGCTTTCCCTCCACCTCTTCGCGGACAAAGGGCAGCGCACCACCAGCGGCGGCGAAGCCATCATCCGCTGCTCCCGCATCGCCATGGCTCTCGCCGTCCGCACGCCCCGCTTCCAGCCTCGACCGGCCTCCATTTCAGCGCCCGCACCACCCGCCTCGACCTCCCTCGCCGCCGCAAACGCGAGGCCCCGCGCCTGCGCCGGCGCCGGCGCCGCCGTCCGCGCCTCGCCCTTCACCGAGGCCACCTCCTCCTCGCGCTACCGCCGCGACGCCTGGTCCTACGCCACCGCCGATGGCTCCTCCAACTCCGCATCCCCGTCCTCCTCTGATGCTGCCGCGGCCGCTGCGGCGGCGGCGGGCCACCGGGACGACGAGATCACGCTGCAGCTGCCGGAGCTGCGGAGGCTCCTGGACGCGCTGAGGGCGTCCAGGGGCAGGGGCGCCGAGGGGGCAGACGGCGGCGGCGGGCCCGGGAGGGTGGCGCTGGTGGGTACAGGGCCCGGGGACCCCGAGCTGCTCACGCTCAAGGCGGTCCGGGCCATCGAGGCGGCGGACCTGGTGCTCTACGACAGGCTGGTGTCTAACGACGTGTTGGACTTGGTCGGGGAGGGCGCCAGGCTGCTCTATGTCGGCAAGACGGCGGGATACCACAGCCGCACCCAGGTGGGAACACTGTTCCTTCATTTCAATTTTGGATTAATCGAGGTTTACACGCTATTGATTGGGCGGGCATTCGGCAATAACGATTTCAAGTTCTTTTTCTTGAGAACGCGTCAGACAACTTCCATGACGAAAAACAGAGCTTGTGCCATATGACTGCCTGGAAGAAAAAAAAAACAGAATTGAGGCGACCTCAGCTTAGGACTTTGTACCTTTCCTTCCCCTTGTTGGTAATTTGTATGTTTGATGACTGATTGATGCAATGTAGGAGGAGATTCACGAGCTGCTGCTGAGCTTTGCGGAGGCTGGTGCCAATGTTGTGCGCTTGAAAGGTGGCGATCCTCTGGTAATTTGCTCTTGCTTGCAAATCTACTTGGCAGCTGAGGATTATTGTGGCACTTCCATTTGTTAACCAAAGCTCAAACAACAAAATTGGTTTGACAACTTTTGCTAGTGGTGGTGTCATTAACATTGAGGACTAACTTTTTCAAATGGTGATCCATTCTTGGTGTCGCTTAAGTCATTTTCAAGTGGTGGATTCATAGAATTGATTGTCTGTACTGATTAGTACTGTTATGTCATGGCTGTCACATCTGACTCATCAAAGCAGCAGGTCATAAAAGAATTAAAAGTAAACCCTCAGGCTACTGTTTTCCTTTGGAAGGAGACAATATTACTAGGATGGAAAAAGATCAATCATTTGTAAGCTGTTGTGTTTGCACAGCAGTGTAGATGATCGATCATGTCCTTATTCAATCTTTTCAGTTATCATTGCAGAAATACTTCTCAATTCTAAGTGTGATAGCCTTTCATTAACCGAGACAAACAATGCCACTTAATTATGCCCTGTACTTTGTTTTATCTGTATAGTAGCAACTGATTCTAAAATTTTTCTATTTTTTCATTCATTTTTCCTCAAAAGGATTCCCATTCTTATTGGTTATTTGATTATACCATCTCATATAAATTCCATATGGATGTATCATTTTAGAGATCCCAGAGCCATGGGGGTGCAGTTGTACTTTTTCTAATAAAAAATAGAGGCAGAGAAAAGTAGTGCCAACATTGCAATTTTTATCACTTTGAGCATAGACAGTGTTTCTGTTATGACCGGCATGCATTATAGCCGGCAAAAGGGTATTAGTGGCTAAGTCTAGATAATTTCTATAGAATCAGGGGGTTATTTTCATATTTCAATAGACGAGATAAATACTTGTGATCAGGGACTAATTTGGTAAGCAGAAACATATTATTGTTTCCGGCTTCTTGAAAGGAGCCGGGAGAAACCCTAGCCGCCGAGTTCTCTTTCTCTCCCGTGAACAGTACCGCGATACTGTAGCGCCTTCGTCGTGTTCCTCGCTCTTCGTTGCGACCAGCTGCAAGGACGGCGCCTCAGAGCCGTCGCCGAGCTCGTCCCCCGATCTCTCACCCTTACAACCTCCGACCATTCGCCGATAGGATCCGAAATCCTATCAGTTTCACTCCACATATAACTCTCTGGAATTGCGCTTCTATCTGTGGGCAATAAATTTGCTTGTATTCCTTTCAGGTTTTTGGAAGGGGTGGAGAAGAGATGGATTTCTTACAGCAACAGGGAATCAAAGTTGAAGTTATCCCAGGTATGATAATCCTATTGCACTAGCTTGGATACTTTGCATTGTTGGTTTGTAGCACTTATGAAATACTTTGGATCTGAATTCCAAAACTCTGCAGGAATTACTTCTGCTTCGGGAATTGCAGCAGAACTAGGCATTCCGCTAACCCATAGAGGTGTTGCTACCAGGTATGATTAGCCTTTTGTAATTTTATCCTACCTAACTTTTAACTAGTATTGCACAAAAAGATTTCCCCTTTATATATGGAAATGTTTCTTCTAAATGACTTTTCAACAAGCTTCAACATTTCCTATCAGTTTTTTGTTTAGGATCTGCAATACTAACTCAAATGCAGCAATTAGCATGCCTAAATGTGGATCTTTTGAGCATTTTCTATAGGGTTGAGGCTTTAAGTGTACTAGTTACTTGCTGTAACTCTGAAATGGTTCCCGTTTTTCACCATACATGTCTCATTGCGTAGTAAAAGTTCTCGGTATTATTTTCTGCTGTTCTGCTGTGCTATGGTTAATGGAATAGCAATTTTTTTAGTTAAAAACTCTCTTGCATTGTTAAATGAACAGAAAGGCGCTAGCTTGTCTCTGACACTGTAGTGTAGAGAGAGAATATTTCTTAAGTGCTTATAGTAGGATAAATTGTTGACATATAATCTTCGCTGCAGTGTAAGATTTTTAACTGGCCACTCCAGAAATGGTGGGACAGATCCACTACATGTCGCTGGAAATGCAGCTGATCCAGACACTACGTTGGTTGTGTACATGGGTTTGTCAACACTTCCATCACTTGCTCCAAAGTTAATGAAGCACGGCCTGCCGCCAGATACCCCTGCTGTTGCAGTAGAGCGCGGGACTACACCTCAACAACGAACGGTAGCGACTCTTAGGCCCTCAAAAACTAAATTGTGTTTAACCTTACTCTGCCATCCTGAATGTTCCTTACACTGTAGGTGTTCGCCTTGTTAAAGGATCTTGTGGATGAAGTCAAGTCAGCTGATCTAGTTTCTCCAACTCTAATAATTATCGGGAAAGTGGTATCCTTGTCGCCCTTCTGGGTTGAGTCATCTGAACATGATGCACTGAAAATTGAGAGCTCGTATGCAAATGAAGCCAGATGATAACATGTTTTCCTGATTTTAGCGATTGGACAATACTTGAGTAATGAAATATCCCAGATACGAGCAGTTCCAATTGAGATCCATTTAGGACATGCGAGCACAGGTTCGACCTGGTGTACACAAACATTTCAGGAAGCATGGATTCTGAATGATGGATGGTAGCTTAAGCCCATAACAGCCTTGGGGCAGAATCGCACTTGGACTGATCATGCTTGACTCTTTGGCCTAATCTACCTGAGATCCACAAATTTCGATTTAGTTGTTCGGCAATAGTTGTGTGCTTCTGTATTGCTTTGGTGGGAATTGGTTTGATCCCCTTGCTTCTGTTGATGAAGAGGTCATGTCTGGAGGCTTGAGCTTCTGTATATAGACGGCTTTGAATTCAGTGTCGTCTTTGATGAAGAGGTCATGTCTGAAGTGTCAGTAGATGTATATGTTTTCAATTCTGTAGCACCTGCCAACTCCTTTCTGATTTGAGGCCCATTCGGAGTGCAGGGATTTTGCAGAAATTTGACGATAAGTAGTTATATTTTTGTGGAAAATAAGAAACTTTCTGCTCCCCAAATGTAGATAACTGTGAGGATTTTTTATCATCTTTAAAATAAATACATTGTTTTTATGTGTTCTGTTCGTCTTTCAAAACTCTACGTAAAATACAGACTGAATCAATCTTTAAGAGCAAGTGTAGGAAAGGGTTGTATTTGACTGGTGGAGAGAAGAGAAGGCCTGTAAACTTATAGCCACATTATACATAAAAAACCCAAAAAACTTTATGAGAAAAAGGTGGTCATAAGGGTACGAGTGAGTTCAGAGCGGTTCTTTAACATAGGTCAACCGAATCCTACAACGGACACGGTTTTGGCAACGATAACAATGCTTGCAGAGAACAAAGAATGGACAATAACAGGCGTGTATGGGCCCCAAGCTGACGCTGATAAAATCATCTTCATGCAAGAAATCACAGATCTCAAGCAACACGCCCTCCCTGCATGGCTTGTTCTTGGGGAAATTAATTTAATCCTCCGCGTACAGGACAAAAACAATTCACGTATCAACTTGCCAATGCTCAACAGATTTAAATCCATGATAGATAATCTGGAGCTTGTGTCAATTGAACTTAAAGGAAAAAAATTCACGTGGTGCAATGACCAACAGCTGCCAACAATGACTAGAATTGACCATTTTTTGGCATCGACCGATTGGCTTGAGCTCTTTCCAAGGACTGATCTACAAGCACTAGCTTCGTTGGGCTCGGATCACTGCCCGCTCGTCCTACAAGGGGACATCAACTTTGACTTCTACAAAGGCTTCAGGTTTGAGGCGCACTGGGCACAAATGCCCAGCTTCCTTGACACGATCCAAGAAAGCTTGGAACAAACCGGTTAATACACAAGACGCCATTTTGCGTCTCCATGTCAAGCTTTTGAGAACGGCCAAAGCGTTGCGTAATTGGAGGCGTAAATCCCTGGGAGATTGGAAAATAAGATGGGCCATTCTAAACATCACTTTGGCAAATTTGGAGAGGGCGCAGGAGTCCAGATTGCTAACACCGGACGAACTGGAGTTCAAGAAGTACCTCAAGCTTAAAGCCTTGGGGATTGCTTCCATGCAAAAGGCAAGAGCTCGCCAACATTCAAGCCTAATTTGGATCCGCAACGGTGATACAAACACACGGTTTTTCCATATACACGCTAATAGCAGGCGTAGGAAAAAGTTTATAAGCGCCCTCAATGGGTAGAATGGATTGGCGATCTCACAAGAAAGCAAGTCAAGCTTGGCACATGCTCATTTCACCACTCTTTTGGGGACGCCAAATACAAGAACCAGAGCTTTAAACTGGAGTGCACTGGATATCGTACACCACGATCTAGAGGATTTAGATGCCCCCTTCACTGAGCAAGAGATTCATGCTGTAGTTAAGGAAATGCCGCTTGAAAAGGCACCGGGGACTGATGGATTTATTGGGGCCTTCTATAAAAAATCCTGGACAGTTATCAAAGAAGATTTGGTATAGGCTATCATGTATTTTTACAGCCATCGTACCACAAAGATGAGTCTAATAAATCAAGCGAATATTGTACTGCTTTCAAAAACCTTGGACGCCATCTCTCTGACGGACTACAGGCCCATAAGCTTAATCAATAGCGTTGTCAAAATCATCACGAAGATTTTAGCAAACATGCTTGCGCCACACATGAATTCTCTTGTTTCAAATGCTCAAAATGCCTTTATCAAGAAAAGATGCATACATGATAATTTCACTTATGCACAAAGGGTGGTCCAGCTCCTTCACAAAAAGAAAAAGTCGGTGCTTTTCATAAAATTGGATATTTCAAAGGCCTTCGACTCAATTAGTTGGAGTTTCCTGCTCGAGGTTCTTGAGGCATTGGGCTTTAGCACTAAATGGAGGGACTGGATTGCGTCGCTGTTGGGCACGTCTTCATCTAAGATCCTGATCAATGGTCAGCCAACAAAGGAGATTAGGTACGCGAGAGGTTTAAGACAAGGGGACCCATTGTCACCACTATTATTCATCATCGCCATTGATCCATTACATCGAATCATTGAAGCTGCAGCACGCCAAGAAATCCTGAAACCGGTTTTACCCAGAGCGTCCAACTTACGCTGCTCATTATATGCAGATGATGCGGCAATTTTTGCCGATCCAACCAGTTCAGAACTTGACAATCTACATAGGATCCTGCAGTTTTTTGGGGACTGCTTGGGGCTCAAAGTCAATATCTCCAAGACGGAAATTTTCCCCATCAGATTGGAGGAGAGTCTGGTAAATCAGTTACTCCAAAACTTCCCCGGAAAAATTTGTAAATTCCGTGGCAAATATCTTGGTCTTCCGTTGCATGTTAGGAAATTGCGAAGGGTATAAGTTCAACCTCTGATCGACTAGATAGGAGCTAGGCTCCCTGGATGGAAAGGCCGGTTCTTGTCCACAGCCGGAAGAGAGACCCTTGTCAAAACCGTCCTCTCAGCTCAACCAATTTATCACGTGACCAGTCTTCGAGGAACACAAGTGTGGTAGAACCGTTTAATCTAATGACTTTTCAGGAATACTTGTTTTTCATTAGACACTAAGTACCCAAGATAGTGCACTAAATCGTGCTGTTCCGTCGAGCACACCCTAAGGGAGAACTCGAAAATCCACATTTTCCATCAGGATCATAAATGAGAGAATAAAGCTAACAACATTCTTAAACCATTTCTTACATCACTTTATTACAGTAATAGAATATTACGTCAATTGATTATAACAACGGAATATAACAATGTTATCAAGTTACTAAGGAAACAAAGATTAATTAATGACATGATGGAGCATTAACATACTAGATATTTTTATATAAGAGATGCTAGCAGATTTTACATCTTTTCTTATAAAAACTTTTAGTGAGGGTTATAAATAAATACTATGGTCGTAGCGTGAAAGAAATCCTCTCTGGACCCACTAGGAGATTTTCACACACAAAAGTCAGCTCTATGTATCCTCTGATCACCTGCAATAGGGAGAATAAAACCCTGAGTACTCGATTGAACTCAGCAAGACTTACCCAACATAAGAAAAATAAAAGACTTCAAAGATATGCAAGGCTTATCTGGCTTGTGAGTTATTGCATCTGTGGAAGCATTACTAAACGTGCGTCCTTAAATTCAATTTTATTAGCAGTCATCATTAGTTTATTAACTAACCATTCTATATAAGCACCTAAGGCTGGACGAAAAACTCGAAGCTCGTTAGCTCGCTCGGCTCGTTATGATAACGAGCCGAGCCGAGCCAAAATTTTAGCTCGTTAGCTATAACGAGCCAACTCGAGCCAGCTCGCGAGCCGCTCGCGAGCTAAACGAGTCAAGCTTCCCGGAAAAAAGTATCAAAACTTATATTAGTTTTTGTATTACTTCATGTCTTGCACTTTATAATTGACTGGTAACTGGTCTAGACCCTATAAATTGACTAGTAACTGATCTAGATGCATTTCTTTTATATTATTATTATTCTCAAATTTTAGACAAATGAAAATATTATATTTTGTGTATTTTTTATATCTGGCTCGCGAACTTAACGAGCCAGCTCGAGCTTTTAACGAGTCGAGCCGAGTTGGCTTTCTGGCTCGTTAGGATAACGAGCCGAGCCAAGCTAGCTCGTTATCTTAACGAGCCAGAACGAGCCGAGCCAACTCGTTATCCAGCCTTATAAGTACCTATGCTACTTTCAAGCAGATGGTAAGCAATCAGAACCATTTTATCACCTTTCAAGTTTTAGTTCTTACTTTGGTGCTAGACCATAACCAAGTCGTACTGTCTCACGGAAACAGCGATTCGTGAACTAATATATCCCAGTTGGGTACCCCGAAACACACGCTTCGTTTGTACCCCAGGCACAAACAAGACCAACCCATTCCACTCCTGTCAAAGGGTCCACGTCCCCGTCCAAACTTGGACTCCAAGCCCCCACACTTGAGACCCGATCTTAGTATGATGCTTAGACCTCCACATTTCTCCCGCCTCCAATCAATCGGTTCAAAAAGAGCTAGAACCCACGACAAGAGCGTAACGAGCCTTTTTCTCCCATAAGCAAGTATGTGCTTAGGATAATAAGTCTGTGACCTCACTACCATCCACAGCAACAAACGGTCCTCAATCGACACAAGCGAAACAAGTGCAATCCGAGCCTCGCTCGAATGCATAACCAAGTCCAGATCCAAAGTACCATTCCGTCCGGTCTTCAATTATCCTTCATATACATTTCATGTGATAGTAATATAACAACAACAATAATATCTTTTCTATCTCTCGCGAGTGACAGGTAATCACTCGACTTCTATCCGATCCTATAGCATAGCAATCTACACGATCCTGGCATACTAGTAGGACTCATAGGATAAGGATATATATATATATATATATGCATGTGGTTTCATTCAACTCCTTAAAACTTAATGCACAAGCATAAAATAAAGTGCAGAATAATAGGGGTTATGCATCTGGGC